CCGCCTCTCGCCCTCGCCGCCCCGCCGCAGTACCACAGGAGAACACGACGACCAAGCGGCTCGCGATCGGCTCGATCGCCCTCTACGCCGCCTGCTCGCACTACTTCCTCGCCTGCGCTCCCGAGGCGCTCCACCAGGACTCGCGCCCGCCCTGCAAGGTCGACGCGGACACGTACTTGCAGCGCGGGTGGTGCCGACTCGAGCAGTGGGCGTTCATGGCCATCAACGGGTCGGCGCAGATGTACGTCTTTGACTCCTCCCTCTCCCAGCTCTCGTCCCGCCGGCGGTGGATCGAGGAGTCGGTCAACGTGTTCAACGGCCACTTTACGCACGAGGCGGACAAGGCCCTCCTCGTCGACGTCGTGCTCGGCCTGTATGGCCTCGCCGTCATCGCCGCGCTCGACCCGAGCGTCGCCGCGGGCAGACACCTCTCGCGCGGAAAGGGGCCGCAGCACGTACCGCAGCAGGCCTCGCCGCCGCTCGCCGGCCCGCAGCTCATCGAGCTGATTGCAGAGCGCCGCGGGCTCATCTTCCCGCGACAGCACTTTGGAGATCTCGTCGACCGGCTGGAAGCGGAGTTGGAGTGGGGGGCCCGAGAGTCGGAGTGCTTGGCGCGAGAGTCGACTTCACCGTCGACGACCTATCGCGCAGCACGCACCGCGCGGCGGACTCTGGACCACACTGGGTCCCCCTCCCACCGCACGTGTAGCGTGTGACTCGTGAGACACGCTGCGACCGCGACGTGCGCAAACCCTCCTTCCGTTCCGTGACGTGTACTCGATCGAGTATGTGGATCTTTAGCTCGAGTAGCTCGTCTTGATGCACCTCGGTCACCAAGCCGCTCACCCAGCCTTGCCGTGCATAGCCCTAGTCTGGCCGGTTTCTTTGTCAGATCGACACGAAATAGAACGAGATAGAATGAGATAGAATGAGATAGCCAGATAGCGCCAGAACCCAGATAGCGCCAGATAGCCCCCCTCCCCCCCCCCCCCCCCTGCTGCGGCGGGGGGCGCCTCCGTCCGAGTCGTCCGCGCCGAGGAGCGCGCGCCGGTTGATCGGCTAAAGTGGAACGCGTCTGAACGCGATACAAAGACTACTCGGAGTACAGTGATTGCGACGGGATTGTCTCGGGCCGCGGTTGAAGAGAGTGCATGATATACGGCGGAATAGTCTTATGCGAGATGCGTCGTATGCGAGATCGCCGCGAGATCGCACGAGATAGAACGAGATAGCTGGATGGATCTGGATCGCCCCAGATAGCACGTCAATCTGATGAAAAAAACGGCCACACCAGGGATTTGCATCCTTGCTCGCACTAATAACTTCTGTGATTCACCAACAAGCTCACGACTGCGCTTTGGCGCAGAAACCATGATGCTCGCCAAGCTCGTTCTCGCCGGATCTTTTGCTGTCCTCGCCTTCGCCGCACCAGTCGCTGACGAGTGCTCGGGCACGTACTGCCAGGACAACGGCTACTGCCACGGCCACGCCAACGCCGCCAAGCCCTTCGGACTCCCTTCTTCCTTCTGGCCTCGTCTGGCTGGGCGGGAAACCGAATGACCTCCAGGCGACGTGGGCTGCCATCAAGGCTACGGGCCTCAAGGGCGTGATTGTTGACATCGGGGTTTCCACGTCGGACATCACGGCGCTCCAGCATGCTGGGCCGTCGTCGTGCTCGCAGTGTCAAATTCAGTTAAGGATTGGAACGCCCCGTACTGGAACGCCCGATCCGACTGGTCGGCAAAGATCAAGATGACCAATGCGGTCGCCCTTGACACGGAGTACGCTACCGATGAGGATTGCGACCAGATCTTCTCGCAGCAGGGCTTCATCAGCGCCTTCAAGGATGTCAAGAGCCTCCTTTACGCAGTCGACAATGAGACCTGCGAGAAGAAGTTCCGGAGCATGGCAAGCATGGGCTGGACCAACCTTCGCTCGGTCGGCGTGGGCTGGACCAACCTTCGCTCGGTCGGCGACGCTTACTCGAATTGCAACATGCGTCACATTAATCCATGCACTGACGTCATCCAGACCATAGTGGCTGCAGGAGCTGGCATCCCGGAAGAGAGTGTCGACCCGGTCAAGATTCTGAAGCAGTGCAAAACTGCCGCGGGCTCCATCTGGTTCGACTGCACCCCAGACTACCCTTGCGATGCAACACACGTCGCCAACGCATTGAAGACGCCAAACGCCTTGGAAGCCATTGACATCATCCTCAAGCGCGCCAACTTCTAGCCGGGCACCGCTCTGGACGGCGGTAGTTCTACCGTGGTTCACTCTTGCTCTCTGTCTGTCTAATGCCATCAAGAAGCTGTTTCTCGCATGTCCACTGTCTAGTTATTGATTTCGCTGCGTTTGTTTCCTGCGCTGGGGAGGCTGGAGGTGGAGGGCCCTCGGCAGGTGTGTGTTTTTGTGAATTCAATGTCCATTGTTTTGACCATTGTTGCTTAGAGGAGCTATCGTGCTAAAGCCTAGTTGAGTAGTGACACCCGACTTTTGCGCGCGTGTGTGGTGTGACCGCAGAACCAGGGAGGAGCAGGGCGGCTCTCCTGGGTGTAGCAGCTCGTCGTCCCGGCATCAGACAGGGGCGGCGTTTCCGCTCTCTCTATATATCATACGGCTTTTGGGGGGGTTGGTCGGTTTAAGTGTGTAAAAGTGGATGGCATGGACGCTTTAACCATGTATACTGGAAACCGTAAACAGCGCGTCACAACCTGCGTCTATCTGTCACTCAGTGCTCGTCATGTGCAACAGCGCGAGGAAGATGCGCGCCTTCAGTAGATTGGCCGACGTCAAGTAGTGCGCCGTCGGACGTCAGGCGCAAATAAATTTAACCCCCGTGAGTGGCGCAGCAGAGCGCGGAGCGGAGCGGACCTTGGGTTTCGGGGGTTTGTGGAGCGCGGACCTTGGGCTTCGGCTTTTCTGCGTTATCCCTCCTCCTCCGCGACTCCCTCAAGGCTGGCCGGGCCTCCTTCCACCCAGCGAAGAGCTTCCTCAGCCCCACTCGATGTGTTCCTCTCCACCACACAGTGAGCTTCACACACGGATTTTAAAGACGCCCAAAAAAAAGGGTCGTGGGACACATCCACGACACGCGCCCAACCGAGCCCAATACTCCCCCACAAAGTGCTAACATGAAAGGGGGTGCCACCGATAGAGTTGGCCCTCCTATTGGGCTCGGGGCGTCATGCGAGAAGGTACCTCTGGCGTGGTGCCGGCACGTGAGCGGGCACCGACGAGAGGCTCCTGCGACAGCGTATCTATCAGGTGCCTCGGGGACGAGGGTCGACGGGGGAGATGAGAGTGAGATTCAAGGAGCCGGCGTTGGTTCCGACGAACACCTCACCGAACCAGCTCACCCACGGCCTTGGTCGCCTTTGCAACCCACTCCTTGTACTTCGCCGTCGCCTGGCTCCCGAGCTCATACTGCTTCTCCACCTCGACCGCCTTGTCGACGGCGCCTGCAACGGAGGCGGAGAGAGCAACTGAGCCGCCAACTGCGAGACGAGCACCCCAGCACTCCTACTCGAACAGCAGATGTGGTGTGCACCGCGAGCAGCGTCGCGCAAGCGCTGCCCGGCCGGCCCCTCGCGCAATGCGGCCACGGAGGCGGCGCCGCCCCCGAAGAGCGCCGAGAGCGAGAGGTCACCTATGCGGCGTGCGCAGCCCCTGAGCGGCCCCAACCCCCACGCGGCAGACGGCGGGCCCGCGCCCCAGGCACCCGCCAGGCCGGCATCAAAGACTGGCAGCAGCAGCAGCAGCAGGGTGCCGGCTGCCGCTGCGGCGAGGACCTCCTGGCGCTCGGCGTCGGAGAGGGTAGAGGGGTCTAGCAGCCCAGCCTGCTGGCGCGGGGGCGATCTCCGGCGTGTGGGGAGGAGGAGCCGCTTCGGCCATCGGGGTTCCGCAGGGGAGCGGGGCGAGCCTGCGCGAGCTGTTCTCGCAGGAGGGGCGCGAGGGGGGACTGTGCGGCGGGCGCTACGACCGAGGCGGCGGTCAAAGAGGCGGCGGCGCCCTGAGGCGGCTCCTCAGGCTGAAGCCCCTCCTCCGCCACCATCGCCGCCGCCACCGCTTGCGCGACCAAGGCATTCTCCACCGCCTTCTCCGCCGCCGCCACTGCCGCCGCCGCCCTAGCCGCCGCCGCCGCCTTCTCCCGAGCCTCCTCCGCGTCCGCCGCCTCCTCCTCCGCCGCCTCCGCCTCCGCCGCCGCCACCACCACCACCTCCTCCGCCTCCTCCTCTGCCGCCGCCGCCGCCGCCTCCGCCTCCGCCTCCGTCTCCGCCTCCGTCTCCGCCGCAACCACCACCTCCTCCTTCTCCGCCGCCGCCGCCGCCGCCGCCGCCGCCGCCGCCGCGGCCGCCGCCTCCGCCTCCGCCTCCGCCGCCGCCGCCACCACCACCTCCTCCGCCTCCTCCTCCGCCACCGCCGCCGCCGCCTCCGCCTCCGCCTCCGTCTCCGCCTCCGCCTCCGCCGCAACCACCACCTCCTCCACCTCCGCCGCCGCCGCCGCCGCCTCCGCCGCCGCCGCCACCTCCTCTGCCTCTGCCGCCGCCGCCGCCGCCGCCTCAGCCTCCACCTCAGCCATCACTCCAACCTCCGCCCGAGCCTCCGCGAGAAACGCCCGCCCCTCCTCGCGGACAGCCTTTGCGGCTGCACCCTCGCGTTTGAGAGACACCAGCCTGTCGGTAGCTGCAGCTCTAGCCGCCTCCATCTGTGCTGCCGCTGCTGCCTCAGCTCGGGCCACGAGGCTCGGGTCGGTGGAGGGAGAACCGTTAGCCAACGACATGCGTGCCGCCCGTGGACAGTGCGTCGACAGCGCTCCCTCGCATCGGGCCGAGGCTAGGGCGGGCCGAAGCCAGGCCGAAGAGGCCGCGGTCAGTAAGTGCAACATTTACCCACAGATGCCCCCGCTCTCGGAACGCGTGATAGGATTCCAGGAGTGAGGTAAAGAAGAATACCGCCGCGTTTCTACCCTTATAAGTCTCTCGTGTCGGCGCCGACGCTCTTGGTTTAACCGTAGAACGTCCCAGCCGAAATCCGCCCGCCACGATCGATCAGTCCACAATCGTCGGCCCGCAGCGACCCGCAGCGATGGATGCCGCCGCCCCCCCGGCCCCTGCGGCTGACGCGCCGATGCACGACCGGCCTCCGTCGGATGGCTCTCCGGCCTCTCCGGCCGCTGACGCGGCCGCCCATGCTGCTGCCGATCCGGTCCCTCTCACGCTCAGCGATATCCGCACAAGCTACGACAACTTCGAGGTCGCCGGCTTTGGCCAGGTGCAGAATCCAACCTGCTTGCCTCCATGTTCACGCTTCGCGCCCCTTCCCCCCCTCTGACGCCGCCGTATGACCGTAGGTGAGGGGCACGACTACCCGCCTGGAAGGCGCTCTCATCAGCAAGTCACCCAGGCACCAACTCCTGGGCGTTTACGCTTGACTACGAAACCATGCAGTGGATGCAGCTCGATCAAAACGGCGACGCCAACAGCTGGTCCCTGGGCGAGTTCCTCGCCCAGGATGAGGTGCGAGTCATGATGCTCGACCCAGCGTGCACCAAGTCGCTCACATTCCGTGAGTTCTTCAACGGGCGACTGCGATCTCGGACTCCGACAACTGGACCGGTGCACCGTCCGCGTAGGACGATGGCTCCCTCGACGACATCCCTTCATCGACGGACGCCTTCACCGCCGCCGGCCCTGGGCCATCCAGCGCGGCCTCCGACGGCCTGCACGTGATCGAGCGGGTACAGAAACGGTGGCTGCCGCAGCTCACACCCTAATCGATCTGCCTTAGGCACGGAGCCAACGGAGCCATCGCGCATGCCCGCATCGCGTGCGGCTCCGAGGTCTCCCGCCGAGACCGGCTCGGCGCGGCGCGTGGCCGCACGCCGCCGTTGAAAAGGCGAGATAGGACCGAGGGGAGAGCGCCGGCCACATCGAGCGAGCGCTGACGTGTAAGGTGTCTGTGCTGCTCCGGTGTGTGTGGGATTCTGCCTCCCCCCCCATCTGTGCGGCGAGTTGTTTGCGGCGCGATGCCCGATCGTGCGCGATAGCCTCCCATTGTGCGTGGTGTGTCGGTTGTCGGGGTCGTCCGGAGCGTGTGGCGGCGCCGTTGCATGCAGCGACTGCTCCACGTGCCACGACTGCTTTGACTGACGTGACTGACTGATGAGTGCCACGGCTGCTTTGACTGACGTGACTGACTGATGAGTGCCACGAACTGCTTTGACTGACGTGACTGACTGATGAGTGCCACGAACTGCTTTGACTGACGTGACTGACTGATGAGTGCCACGAACTGCTTTGACTGACGTGACTGACTGATGAGACATGAGTGCTGATGGATGATCTCCGACAACCCAAAACCAAAATGCAAATGAGTGGCCCACTTTGGCGTGCAGATCCTGCGTCTCTCACTGCCCGAACAACAGAGACGGGTACCGCCGCAGGTCCCACACTAGTCTATGCATAACCGTGAATGACCTGGCGCGACGCCTCGCTTCGCCGAGGTCGTCGCGGCGTGTGAGCGCCCTCCCAGGCCGCCTGCTGGTCTCGAGCGCGGCTGGCGCACGCCTCGGCCTCCGCCGCACCCCACCGCGTGGCGGAAACGAGCCGCGGCGGCCACGGAAGAAAGCGTCGCCTTGGCTCGACGTGGTGTCGCTCGCAGCTGCTCTCGCCGACGGTGAGCCTGGCTGCCCAAGCACTGTGAGCCGACCGGATGTGAGCCAGCACTCGCGCTGAGCCGCTCGAGCTGTCGCAGGCGTGCACGAGTCGGCACGGGCTCCTTTCTCTGCGCTGGCGGACGCTGTTTGGCGCTGCACGAGCAGTGCGTGCACGCGCGACGCGTCGCGTGTGCACTCAGCGTGCCGAGCCGGCGCCTGTTGTTCTATCACGGCGCCGCTGCACCACCCGCAACCGACTCCCGCTGCGGAGGGCGGCGCACTCCGCTCTAGGTGGCACGCTCTCGGTGGCACGCTCTCGGTGGCACGCTCTCTTTGGCTCGCCGAGCAGCATATCGCCACCACCGCTGGATCCGTGCGACAGGTGTGTGCGCATCGCAGCTGCCGAGGGCTAACATGTCCACGCCCCCCTCAACGTGTGATCAGGAGCGAGTGGCGACACACTCGCTGTCAATACAAGTCAGGCAGCTGGCCTCGAGCAGTTCGAGCCAGCCTCGACCGAGTGTCGCGCGTTGAGGGAGGCGGCGCATGCTGCCGCTGGCGCCTCCATCGCCACGAGCCTCGCGGCGGCGGTCGCGACGCACCTTGCGGCGTCTCTCGGGGTCATTTCTACGGCGTGCGACGCCGTGTGAGGTCGCCGGCGGCCCGCATCTCTGCCGCCGTCGCTCCGCTGGCTGTGACCGAGTTTCGGGCGTTGAGGGAGGCGACGCATGCTGGCGCCGGCGCCTCCATCGCCACGAGCCTCGCGGCGGCGGTCGCGACACACCCAGCTGCGTCTCTCGGGGCTACCTCTACGGCGCTTGGCGCCGTGTGAGGTCGCCAGCGGCCCGCATCTCTGCCGCTGTCGCTCCCCCGGCTGTGACCGAGTTTCGGGCGTTGAGGGAGGCGGCGCATGCTGGCGCCGGCGCCTCCATCGCCACGAGCCTCGCGGCGGCGGTCGCGACACGCCCAGTCGTGAGTAATCCCACACTCCGCACGTAGCACTGCTCGTTTTCACTTTTGGCGTGTGCGGCATTGCAAAGCACTGGCCTGGCTGTGTGGCTGGAGCCTGGAGCGTACTCAGGTCGTACTAGTACTTGTGTCTACGCGTGTCACCATTCTTGCAAAACACAGACTGCACTCCTCGCTCACTTCTTCCTCCCCTTCTTAGGCTCCGGATTCGGCGGTGCCGATGACTTCCGCTTCGCGCCACGCGCCGCCGCCGGCTTCGACGACGAGGACAGGCCCTCTCTGGTGCGCTACCCGTGTCCGGGTGGGTTGCACTGTCATGTCAGGCATGCTACATGGCCCCTGGAGACTGCCTTGCAGCTGAGGCTGGCTGGGGACCCTACCTAAGCTCCACAGAAGGCCTGGAGGCTCTTCCCGGCCTGCCCCGAGAGACCGGCTAGGGGAGCCGTGCCGGCACCAACTTTAGCCGTGAATATATCCAGATCCCCCCATGAAACAAAGACCAAACTTCTCCCACATAGCCATTAGGACCCAGTAACTAAAATATGTTGGGCAGGGCAATTTGTTATGAGCAGAAAAAGAATGGTGGCAGTGGCCCACTATGGCCCACTAGGTGATTCACGGATAATTCTTTTTCCTTTCGCGAAGGCTTTCCGCTCGCGCGAGCTGTACACGCACGGCCCCAATCTCCACTACATGCCGCCCTTGCTGGTGGCTCTGCTCGTCCTGTTCCTGCTGAGCTGCTGCTGCTGCTGCTGCTGCTGCTTCCGGAAGCAGCCGCTCCGCTACAACTCCGTGGGTGCGAGGATAGACGGGCTCACGCCCCCCGGCGACTACCCGGCCGCGGAGACGCACTACGTCATTGCGGAGAGCACCGGCATTGTCAAGCCGGTCCAGGGCCAGGCTGTGCCGATGGGGACGCCCGTGTAATGACCTCGCTCTTTCTCCACCCTCGCCTCGCGCCCAGTGATGTGCGCTGAGTCGATCATCTTATTCGCACACGGCACGCGAGGCCTGGAGCCATTTTGCCGCGTCGCTCCGCTGCTGCCCACTGTGGCACTGCCGCGGAATGCTGTGGCGATGTGGTGTGCGTGCGTCGCCGCGTGTCGGTCTTTGCGGTGCATGGCGTAAATACTGGAGCCGCGCCCCGCACACCGCGCACAGACGACTCAGAAGGTGCGGCACGCGCACGCACAGGCACCACCGCCGTCTTATCATGCGCGCGTCCCGCGGTGTGCCGCCGACTAGCGTGCGTCGCTTCGTTAGTGCCTGCCAGCGCGCCGGCGTGGCTGCCGCGGAGAATCTCTCGCGTAATATACCAAAATCGAGGGGGTCGAGGGGAGGCAGCCGCCCACGCAGAGGCACGCACGCTCGACCCGCGGCTCGTCACCTCGCGCGGGAGTGCTCCCCGCGCGCGTGGTTCCCTCGCGCCAGGTGGCGCCGACTGCAACCCGCTCACCCCACCTCACTCCGTCTTGTTGAAGGCGCCGCCGCTCTTCGGGAACTCGACGTCGATGGATTTGGCGGGGACCGTCTTGGGGTAGCGGGACGAGTACAAGGTGTCAAAGATCAGGTACGCGCTGAAGATGACGACTGCGTTGCGAAAGGGCGGCAGGAAGTGCGCAAACGGGCGCGAAAAGTACCTGCGGCGGGGCGCGGCTCGACTCACAGCAGCGGCGGGAGGCGTCGTCGGCGTGAGGCGATGGCGGGGAGCGCGCGCACGGGTGTCGCCGCCAGCTCTCGTGCTCCGGAGAGAAAACCATTCGGCGCACCCCGCGGGAGGTAGCGTGGGGCAGGCTGGGCGCTGCTGGGAGGCAGTGCCGAGCAAGCAAAATAGAGAATTTGCTCATCAGAGTGTGTTCTCGAGGTTCTCGAGGTGGATATCCTTTGGCCGCGTTGGGTAGCGAGAATTGGTGTAACCCGAGCCACGGAGGCGTGTTTTCTGGCGGCCGACCGTCAGTGCACGGAGTTGCCACTAAGAATGTGTGTGTGTGAACGGATTTTGACATTTTGAACGAGTGGGCGGGCAGGCTGTCTGTTTACAGGCGCCGTCCGCCCGCGCGCGCGCCGACCCAACTCCGAGCACGCTCGCTCGCCGCTGGGCGGCGCGCGTCCACACTGCGTACGAGGGCCCTCAACAGAATTTTACAGGGGTCAAGGAGTATCTTGATTAGAACTGAATGATCTGATTAGGCTCGCAGCTCTCCCATTCAGGTCTGAATAGTTTTGCAACCTCACTATTCAAGAAGATTCAAGACTTGAATAGTTCATTAGGGAGAGTAGTCAGATCATTCGAACTATTCAGACTTGCGTGAGGCCACGTGTCGGTGTCTGTCTGAATCATGAAGTTACTTCAGGAAGTAAGTATTCACCCTGCAGTATAGCACCCACGGGCTCGCACCCGCACCTGCGACAGAAATGTCAATTCTAAGCTTATTTTGGTCCGTGTCCGTCCGTCCATCGCGCCATCGCATCACCCATGCCGCCTAAGCGTTCGAGCAAGGCCAGCAAGCAGTCGGCCATTGCCTTCTACCCGACGCTCAATAAGCCGGCCACCGCTGTCGGCAAGTACATCTCCGCGCCGGGCAAGTTCTGGAATGGCTGCCCGGCGGCCGACAAGGAGAAGCGGTTCAAGTGTGCCGTCGTTGAGTTCTCGGCGCTGCACGATTACGGCGACGGCGTCAAGGGAGCGGGGTTCTCGTGCAAGGAGATGGGCGAGGACGGCCGCGGCAGCCTCGAGCCGGGCGTCGCGTCGGGCAGCGAGTTCATGATCGGCTACCCAAACCCTTTCCTCGAGTACTACTACTACGAGAACCGCTCGGAGCTGCCAGCGGCCGTGCGCACCAAGCTCTTTCCTGATGAGGTCGACCCTGCTGCTACCGTGGGCGACGCTGCTGATGCCTCTGGCGATGGAGCCGTGGGCGGCGCGGATGCCGCGGGCGGCGCGGATGCCGCGGGCGGCGCGGTGGTCAAGGTCACGCACGAGGAGGAGCGGCCTCCAATTTTTGCTTACTTGACCGAGGCGTCGCGCACGTTGAACAGCATGGGCGCGGCGCGGGGCAAGTACACCATCAGGGCTACGTGGTGCAGGCTGGCAGCAACTAGCCGTAGTGATCGAGAGCGGAGTGCCGAAGGGCGAAGGGCGCCGGGAGAGCGCATGCATCTTGAATAGTATTCATGAATCGAGGGTCAGAGCTGGTCATTCTAGTCATGAGTTGAATAGCTTGTGAGTGCCTCTATTCAGGTCTGAATAGTTTTGCAACCTCACTATTCAGAGCACTAATCATGAATAGTAACCTATTCTAGACACTCCTTGACAGGGGTTCCTCCTTTTAGTTTACAAGAAAATCGCGTTGGTGTCCAGTCCGAGCCTGGCTGTTGTTTTCTTCACCTTTCTACCTACCTACCTTAGTTTACAACAAAAGGCGGTCGCACGACACGATTCGCGCGATAGGCGAGGCGCGCCGGGCGACGGCTTCCTCAGAAGCCGTCGCCCGCACCACAGGAGCAGTCACACTACTCCCACTCCGGCGCCCACCCAGACCCACTCCCCACCCCGACATCCCCACCACCGAAAAGAGAATTTTACAAAAACTCCCCCGCACGACACTAGGCACGGGACTGGCGCGCACTGGCACTAACACAGGTACACCACGGGAGCCGCCTAGAAGCGACTCCCGCCGGCGAGGACGGCGAGGCACTTAGCTCCGTGCACTCGACCGCCCTCGCCGCCCAGGCAAGCTCATCCACAATCTGCTCTGCGATGGCCGTGTGAAGAACCTTACGACTGAGATGCGCTGCTTCTGCAGCCCCACCCAGCTCTTGGTGGTCCAAGTCACCTCATCGAGGTACTGGGCCCGCGTCAGCTTGTTCTGCAGCGCGTTCGCCGCCCTCCAGAGCGGATCTCGCCGACCCCCTTCCGCCGAACCCACCGAACGACTCGAACAACAGCAGCTGGCATGCACGTCGACGTCCTTGTCCATAGGACGGTATGCGGCGATCGCCGCCCACCACCCTGCCCCCCCTAGTATGCCATCGACCCGTCCCCTGCCCCCTCTCGCCCTTGCTCTTCCTCTCCCCCTCCATGCCCTCGCCCCCGTACCCCTCACACTCCCCTCCCCCCCCCCTCTCCCCCCCCCTCGCCTCCCTCTCCCTCCTCGCAGTAGGGCCCATGCCCCACGACCATGTTCCGGTAGAACAGAGAAACAAAGCGCAGAGAACACGACGACCTCGACCTCTCACACGCGCGCTGCGGTCCTACCCAAGTGATATGCCACTGCGTGCGATCTAGAATCAGCACACGTGCGACGGTGTATCATTCACTTTATGCCACCGTTGCATGGGCGCTCAAAAGGTCGCTCACCCGCCCGTCGCTTGCCGCCCCTCTCCCAGCCCTTGCCGGCCATAGGATCACGAACCTAGGGCTCAGTTCCGTCTCCCCCCCCTCCCTCCTGTAGGCAGGCCGTCCCGCGCTGGCGGGAAGAGGCGCGCCGAGCCATCGGTGACGTCCTGGCGAGCTCATGCCCCCCCAAAAGGTCGCACCGGCCCGTGGCTCCGCCGTCGGCTCCGCCGCGAGCGGCGACGGTGAGGCCGCCGGGGCTCGCCTATACCGGCTAGTGTGGAGCTCTCAGTGTGGTTGCGTGTTGTACTAGTGATGCTGCACTAGGCGGCCCGTTTTTAGCAAAAAGCAGACACCACATCGCGTGTGGTCGTCGAAAAACCGCATCTTCGCCCGTCTGGGACCTCTTCGTACGGCTCCAAAAACCGCTCCTTAACGACGGCTACGCGGCCCGGCGGTCGATCTGCGCCTTCTCAGTGGTGGAGGGGATGTGGGCGGTACGTGCGGACCGCGTGGTGTTGCGAGACGGTTTGACGAGTGCGACTCCCAGCGTCGACTTTTCAACCCCACGGAGCCTCTGCTGCTCCGGGGGGGGGGGTCTGCAGACCACCCGGCCGAACTTCAGAGTGGCGGTGGTCCTCAAATACCGCTCAAACGCCCAAGATGTTGTGGAGGGGACATATGCTGATGATCCCGGCCCGATTGGGTCGCTCAGAAAGCTTCTGGGCGGTCGCTAAGGTTCGCTCCCCGCACACGGGCCCCGGAATAAGATACATCATATCGAGTTGCATGTCCCAGATACCGCGAACGGCCGCCTCCCGATGCCGCGCGTACTCCTCGACCGCGGGGATGCTGTCCACCGTCCACAGGTAGTACCCCACCAAGTGCACGAGCGGCCCGTCAACGTCCTTCGCCAGGTCCGGCATGCGCAGTCGCCCCCACTCGAGGAGGCCGGCGATGGCGTCACACGTCATCATCCGGGCGGGCCGCACCTTGAGCTTCTCGCTGCCGTCCCCCAGGCGCACGACGTGGAGGGCTCCTTCCGTCATGGGGCGGAGCGCCTGCGCCAGCGCGTGCACGATGTCGCGCATCAGCTCCTCGACGCCCGTGGTGCCGCGGTCGAGCTTATCCGCGACCGCCACCGCTAGCCGCGCGCTGTACAGCATGAGGGGCGCCCCGGGTGGCCACCTCCCCGCCCCTACCTCAGCTAGCACCGAAGGCGACGTTACTCGCCCCGCCACCTTCCTGAGGCCGCGCAAGACCGTCGCCGCAGCCTCCGCCTCGAGCCTGGGCCGCTGCGCCGCGTCCTCCGCGAGCAAGCGGCCATGTAGCTCGGCGACGACCTCGCCCACCTTCTCGACCTCGTGCTTCCGCAGCGCCGCCACCAACCCCTCCATGGGCAGGGCCTGCGCCCACTGCTTCATCGACCTCCACTCGCACTCGAAGCTTTGGTCGACGACGTCCTCCGTCACGCCGTGTCCCACGTAGAAGAAGAGCGCGCACCTCATGTCTTCGCCCTGTCCGAGGCCGTCGCCGCCATGGCACAGCTCGTTCGCTTTGAAGACGAGGGCGTCGCCCGGCCCGAGCACGATCGGTTCTTGCCGCGATACGACGTGCAGCCGCCTCTGGCTGAGGGGCACGATCACGGAGTAGACGTCTTCGACGTTCGCGTCCAAGTGGGACGGCTGTCGCTCCGCCCCTGGCAAGGTTACGATCAGGCTGACCCCCGCAACGCTGCCGTCGCCTCTTGTGACGCCGACCGGCCTGCCCTCCAGGCCGACGTGCGGTAGCACCTGCCGTGCTAGTTGCATCGCGAGTTCCTCAAGTTCCGGTCGTCCTTCGAAACGGAGCAGCTTCCTCTTCGTTTCCCGCGCGATCCCTTCGAGGCTCTCGGGCCCCACGAGGTCCTCGGCGTGCTGCACCGCATCCTTCGCGTACTCGAGGAAGGCGTTAAGGGCTTCGAGCTGGCCGTGCGCCGCCGCGAAGTCTCGCACGACCTGCCAGTCGCCTTCGTCCTCCACGTCGACAATGTCGATGAGAGCCGGCATCGTGTCGTCCGCTGGGCGTGCTCCAGCGCCGCCTCGTGCGCACGCACGCGCAGCGGCGGCGCCTCTGCACCACCCGAGTCGCCGCCCGGCCGAGCGAGGAGCAGAGAGACGACGAGTGACATGCTGATTCGGCAATCAAGAATTTCCTTTTTTTTTAATTCTCTTTTTGATCTCTCGTGTGTGTTGGGGTGGTGTGTGCGCGCTCGTTTGTAGGTCAGAACTCTCGCCACAAGGATGGGATCGTGCACGGTTCCCTCGCTGGTCACGCAGTCGTCCTGGGCGAGATGCATCCGCAACATCAGCTTTGGCTGTGATGCAGAGAGCGGCGCGCTGTGGACTGCAAAATGTCGCGGTGTGTTTCGCTGCAACGAGGGCGACACGCACAAGGTGCGATGCGGCTTCCCTCCTGGTCAGTCGTTTTACAGCTGCAGTTGTGATCGCCAGGATCGCCCAAGCACGGCCAGGATCGCAGCCCAAGCACAGCGACCAGCGCAATTACGGTCAAACCTGTCAATCGCGCTGCAGGTTTCGGGACATGTGGGGCGACATGGTGTCTGCGAATACCGGCACCTCGTTGCCCACCTCAGGGCATGCCGCAAGAACTTTGCGATATGCGACCTGTACTTGCACACATGGGACGAAATCGCGCCGAATACACCAAGCTGGAAGGGCAGGGGGGGCGGGGGGGGGGCGAGGCGTCCGGAGCTCATGCAGAGCAGCCTCGCGTGCTTTAAGACCATCGTGGCGCAGACAAAGCCGATCGCGTCGATGCTCCGTGGCTATGTGCACACCGAAGACGAGAACCGGACCTTCACTTTCACTGGCTATAACTGGGGGGCGGCGAAGCTGCGCGGCTTTCGCAACAACATTGCAGGCATGCGCGGAGCCGCCGTGCTGCGTCGCGAGTCGGGGAGACGCTACTCCTTGGCCATGCGCTTTCGCCCTGACGCGACAGTTTTGCACGAACCCGTCGACACCTTGTGGCCATGCCTCGGAGCCCTCGCGTGGGTGCCGAAAGGAATCAGTGCGTGTCGCTCGACTGCTTGGGATGGCGGCGTAGAAGACGACAATTGCTTCTTTGGTGATCCGACGAACATGGATGCCCTTGTGGATCATCTGCATCTTCAGTACGACCGCGTGTTCGAGACCGCGACGAATGATCCCAAGTACGCAAAGGTGGAGTTTCAGTTTGGCATCGCTCTGCGACAACTCGGGCTCGCCCGTGCACACGTAGATATGAACAAGGCGAGGCTGCTTGGGCTGAACCTGTCAGAGTCGGACTTTGATGCATTCGAGCGTCCGTGCCAGGAGAAACAAGATCCGTAAAAGAGCGTGGGTAGGTGGCTCCAACAGAATACGAATGCGTTTAACGAATCCAGCTGTCATTTGCTAACGGAAATACAGTACGTTCGGAGTGGAAGTTTTACTTTTTAGTTCGGTAATTACAGGCCTCAGCTTCTCGTTCGAGTTTACGAAAAAAGAGAGGAAGAAAACAGACCCAACCCAAATGAGGGGTAGGGGAGGAGGACAGGGTCCACACCGAGTTTACGACAGCGGCAATACGACAGCGAGGTGCTTTCTTTTTCTGTTTCGTGGTTTAATTCTTTTTCTTGAACTAGGGGTATTGTCTTCCGACTTCCCCTGCTTGTCTTCCCCACTCCACTCACGCCATCACGAATTCTGGCGGCGAGGGCGGGGGCGGCGAGGGCGGCGGGTAGTTGCACTCCGGGAGGCAAGCGCTCCGAGCCCGAGGTGCAGACATCGGTAAGGGCGGGCAGGGGGCAGGCAAAATAGCGCCTTGAACATCGCCACGCGGCATGTGGCGTTGTACATGCACTCGATGTCGTCGTCAATGATGATGTCGTCCTTGCAGCGGGGCGACTCCATCCACGAGCGCACATGGTAAGCAGTGCGCTTTATTTAGTTAGTTAGCTAAGCCCGGAGGGGTGATGGGATGCTGTCTCGGCGGTCTCAGGCCCAGTGAGGTAGTGCGCCAGACTATCCCAGATCCTGCTGAACAAGCTCCTCTTGTAGCTCGATCGGTCACACCGCCATCGCCGTTGGGGAGAGAGGGGACGACACTGCTTCAGCAGCGTGCACCTCGATCCTGTACCGTGTTTGTTATGACCCCCCCAATGAACACACCAGTGAGGGAGGGCGAGACGATCGAGGGGTCCCGTACCATGCGGAATCGACCCTATCCAGTGCTCAAGTGCTCCAGTTAGGAAGGTGAAGAACAGCCAGGCTCGGACAACGAATTCTAGCATCCTTTGCAAAAAGAAAACCTTCGGAGCCCGCCGATCTGCCGCGAGCACCGAGCCGATAGCGAGGTGGACCACGCGCCGAATGGTGCTCTGGCCAGTGGTTGACCTCCGCACGAAGTCCCTCTCGCCTCTCATCAAGGGCGAGGCGGCCGGCGAGAGCGACGACGAGGTGCTCCGCCGCCTCGGCCTCGGCAGCTGCCTCGTCTGCTGGCTGAGCGAAGCCGAGCTCGCTTCGCCGCCGTCGGCTGCCCGCGTCGCGCTCTTGCGCAGCGCGGGCTGCGCGGTCGGCCCCTTCCGGCTGGACGAGGCGGCCAAGGCGCGGGAGTGGCTTCATGCCGGAGCGCTGTACGCGCTGCTCACTCCGGACCCCGCGACGCCTCCGGCGGAGCTGTGCGCGGCAGTGCGCCAGGCGGCCAAGGACGCGGCGCTGCCCGCTGAGCGCCTGCTCGTCGTCCTCTCTCCTGCAGCCGAGACGACGTCTGAGCAGCTCCTTCTCGCACTCGAGTCTCTCGCCGCCAAGACCGGCTCCGGTTGCCGCGAGTGCGAGCGGCCCCACACCGTCGGCGCCGCCGCCGGCGTCCTTCTCCTCCTTCCAGACGCGGCGGCGGACGCGGCGCTGCTGAAGCGGGTGTCGGCCAGCCTCGCGGCGACGGACCGGCTGCTGGTCGTGGTCTCCGGAGCGTCGCTCTCCCCCTCCCTGGCCCGGCGCGCCGAGCGTGCACGCCCTCGCCCTCGGACTTTGGGGACGAATTTAATTAAGTTCGACCAGTGCGAGCCCAACTGGTTAGGCTCGCCGAGCTCCACGCCCTCAACCTCGGCCTCGCGGCCCCGGCATCGCTCGGCCCCCTCCCGAGGCGGGCGGAGCGGGTGGCGGCGCCGACGCCCGCGGCCGCACCGGTGCCGTCGGTTAGTGGCGGACTCTGGCCCTAGAAGCGGAATACGTGTTCATGCATCCCAACCAGCACTCGAGAGGAGACGCACTCGGCTGTATGCCGCTGGATGCGGATGTGTTCGCTGCTTTCGTCCCCACCCGTACTCACGCGGTGCTCTGAGTACGCTGCCACAAGTTGCCGTCTTCACGCCCTCCCGTCGGCGTCGTCTCAACGCAGTTTTCACATCACAACGTAGGCTTCTGGCGGCGGGCGGAGGACGTTGCGGAGGCGCCTGCGGGCGGAGAAGAGCTGATCGACGCGGGACAGGCGCGTATCAATGGCGAGAAGGGGAGAGGGGCAGTGGCACGAGGGGTAGGAGTGGGAGCATGCGCGAGACGTTCGGTGTGGGGATAGGTGCTCCAACGAGGAGACCACACACACTCTCACGAGATGCCCTCGGCCAGGTCCACGACACACCCGCGACATGTGCACGACACGTCCGCGACACGTCCGCGACATGTCCACGACATGTGCATGTCCACGACACGCCCACGACATGTCCACGACACGCCCACGACATGTCCGCGATACGTCCACGACATGTCCGTGACATGTCCACGACATGTCCCAGCCATGTCCACAGGCGCTGGCCGCGGCGGTGCGGTCCGACCGGCCGGATGGCTTGCTCTCAACGGTGGAGGAGGAGGGCGGCGGTACGGATGTCACAGGCGGTTGCGACGCGGAAGAGTGCAACCACCATAGGTGGTGGAGGAGGAGGGCGGCGTCGCCCTCGGCCTCGCCTCCTCGCCGACGGGGCCCGAGCCATGAATGAGCTCGTTACCAAGAGGGGGTCCGCATTCTTCATTCTTCAGGCCTCGTCTACTCGACGGCGGAGTCCGTCTGCGCCGCGCTCCGCTCCGGCCGCGGCGTCTACTGGTCCCGCTCTCGCCGCTCTCTCTGGCGGAAGGGCGACTCGTCTGGCGCGCGTGGCAGCGGCTCTGCCGCGCGAGTGAAGGTTCAGAGGTTGAAGAGACTGTCGATGGGAGTAGGCGCGTGGCAGCGACTCTGCCGCGCGAGTGAAGGTTCAGAGGCTGAAGAGACTGTCGATGGGAGTAGGCGCGTGGCAGCGACTCTGCCGCGCGAGTGAAGGTTCAGAGGCTGAAGAGACTGTCGATGGGAGTAGGCGCGTGGCAGCGACTCTGCCGCGCGAGTGAAGGTTCAGAGGTTGAAGAGACTGTCGATGGGAGTAGGCGCGTGGCAGCGGCTCTGCCGCGCGAGTGAAGGTTCAGAGGTTGAAGAGACTGTCGATGGGAGTAGGCGCGTGGCAGCGGCTCTGCCGCGCGAGTGAAGGTTCAGAGGTTGAAGAGACTGTCGATGGGAGTAGGCGCGTGGCAGCGACTCTGCCGCGCGAGTGAAGGTTCAGAGGTTGAAGAGACTGTCGATGGGAGTAGGCGCGTGGCAGCGGCTCAGCCGCGCGAGTGAAGGTTCAGAGGTTGAAGAGACTGTCGATGGGAGTAGGCGCGTGGCAGCGACTCTGCCGCGCGAGTGAAGGTTCAGAGGTTGAAGAGACTGTCGATGGGAGTAGGCGCGTGGCAGCGACTCTGCCGCGCGAGTGAAGGTTCAGAGGTTGAAGAGACTGTCGATGGGAGTAGGCGCGTGGCAGCGGCTCTGCCGCGCGAGTGAAGGTTCAGAGGTTGAAGAGACTGTCGATGGGAGTAGGCGCGTGGCAGCGACTCTGCCGCGCGAGTGAGGGTTCAGAGGCTGAAGAGACTGTCGATGGGAGTAGGCGCGTGGCAGCGGCTCTGCCGCGCGAGTGAAGGTTCAGAGGCTGAAGAGACTGTCGATGGGAGTAGGCGCGTGGCAGCGACTCTGCCGCGCGAGTGAAGGTTCAGAGGCTGAAGAGACTGTCGATGGGAGTAGGCGCGTGGCAGCGACTCTGCCGCGCGAGTGAAGGTTCAGAGGTTGAAGAGACTGTCGATGGGAGTAGGCGCGTGGCAGCGACTCTGCCGCGCGAGTGAAGGTTCAGAGGTTGAAGAGACTGTCGATGGGAGTAGGCGCGTGGCAGCGACTCTGCCGCGCGAGTGAAGGTTCAGAGGTTGAAGAGACTGTCGATGGGAGTAGGCGCGTGGCAGCGACTCTGCCGCGCGAGTGAAGGTTCAGAGGTTGAAGAGACTGTCGATGGGAGTAGGCGCGTGGCAGCGACTCTGCCGCGCGAGTGAAGGTTCAGAGGTTGAAGAGACTGTCGATGGGAGTAGGCGCGTGGCAGCGACTCTGCCGCGCGAGTGAAGGTTCAGAGGTTGAAGAGACTGTCGATGGGAGTAGGCGCGTGGCAGCGACTCTGCCGCGCGAGTGAAGGTTCAGAGGTTGAAGAGACTGTCGATGGGAGTAGGCGCGTGGCAGCGACTCTGCCGCGCGAGTGAAGGTTCAGAGGTTGAAGAGACTGTCGATGGGAGTAGGCGCGTGGCAGCGACTCTGCCGCGCGAGTGAAGGTTCAGAGGTTGAAGAGACTGTCGATGGGAGTAGGCGCGTGGCAGCGACTCTGCCGCGCGAGTGAAGGTTCAGAGGTTGAAGAGACTGTCGATGGGAGTAGGCGCGTGGCAGCGACTCTGCCGCGCGAGTGAAGGTTCAGAGGTTGAAGAGACTGTCGATGGGAGTAGGCGCGTGGCAGCGACTCTGCCGCGCGAGTGAAGGTTCAGAGGTTGAAGAGACTGTCGATGGGAGTAGGCGCGTGGCAGCGACTCTGCCGCGCGAGTGAAGGTTCAGAGGTTGAAGAGACTGTCGATGGGAGTAGGCGCGTGGCAGCGACTCTGCCGCGCGAGTGAAGGTTCAGAGGTTGAAGAGACTGTCGATGGGAGTAGGCGCGTGGCAGCGGCTCAGCCGCGCGAGTGAAGGTTCAGAGGTTGAAGAGACTGTCGATGGGAGTAGGCGCGTGGCAGCGACTCTGCCGCGCGAGTGAAGGTTCAGAGGTTGAAGAGACTGTCGATGGGAGTAGGCGCGTGGCAGCGACTCTGCCGCGCGAGTGAAGGTTCAGAGGTTGAAGAGACTGTCGATGGGAGTAGGCGCGTGGCAGCGACTCTGCCGCGCGAGTGAAGGTTCAGAGGTTGAAGAGACTGTCGATGGGAGTAGGCGCGTGGCAGCGACTCTGCCGCGCGAGTGAAGGTTCAGAGGCTGAAGAGACTGTCGATGGGAGTAGGCGCGTGGCAGCGGCTCTGCCGCGCGAGTGAAGGTTCAGAGGTTGAAGAGACTGTCGATGGGAGTAGGCGCGTGGCAGCGGCTCTGCCGTGTGGCCGTCGACTCCGACGGCGACGCACTCCGCTTCACTGTCCGCCAGTACGGCTCGCCGCCATCCTTTTGCCACCGAGGCACGCTGACATTGCTGGGGGGGGGGGGGGGTCATGCTATGCGGTGGGGCCACTGCCAGTCAGTAGTGTCTCGTGCTGCCCCTGCAGGCACGCTGACGTGCTGGGGCTTCCCGAGCGGCCTACGCGCGCTGCAGGAGACGCTGCAGTCGCGGCGCGGCGCGGCGGCCCCTAGAAGCGGAATCTCTCCCCGTATCTCCCCCGTATCTCCCCATATCTCGTGAGCAGGGGCAGCGGGGAGGAGCGGAGCCGTGTTCTTGTGCTCCCGGTAGCGCTCGAGACGACACGGACTCCGCCGTACTCGGCCGCACTCCGCTGTGCACATTGTACTCGCCTCCCTCGTACTCACGCGGTGCCACAAGTACTCTGCCCGACACCGTCCTCCCGCCCTCATGCCGGCGCACTCACACCGCAGGCTCGGCGCCGGCCGGCTCGTACACCAAGCGGCTCTTTGACGACTCGACCCTCCTCCGCTCCAAGCTTGTGGAAGAGGTTCGCGGGAGCTGGCAGAGGCGGAGGGTCATCTCGGGGCATCTCGGGGCATCTCGGGGCATCTCGGATCATCTAGGCGCAGGAGCTGGCAGAGGCAGAGGAGCCAGACGACATCGCCTCTGAGGCCGCCGACCTCCTCCCCGAAATCCCCGAGATTACCCGAGACTACCCGAGATTACCCGAGATTACCTGAGATTACCCGAGATCACCCGAGATTACCTCCACATCGCCTCTGAGGCCGCCCACCCCCTCTTCCTTAAACTGAGGACGACCTCGGGTAGTCGCGGGTCATCTCGGGTATATCAGTTAATATTAATTAATGAGAGTTGTTCATTAATGGTAGGCCGCCGACCTCCTCTTCTTCGCGCTCGTGCGCTGCGTCGCCGCCGGCGTCACTATCGCCGACGTGGAGGCGCATCTCGACGCGCGCGCCCTCAAGCTCGCGCGCCGGCCGGGCAACGCAAAGGCGTCTGGGGAGTATTGCTAGTCTGGGACTGCTACTCATATACTCATGTGATCGCGCGCCGGCCGACGCAACGCAAAGGCGTCTCGTGACAGCGCCGCCGCCGCCATCCTCTCGGACAAGGCCAAGCGCGCCGCCGACAAGGGCCCGGTGGCGGCGTGGAGTCAGGCGCCGTCGGCGGGCGCTCTTGCGCTCGCCGCCGCCGCCGCGGCCGCGGCCGCCGTGGCGGCGGCGGCCGCTGCGCGCTACAGGGGCTGAGCGGGGCCTCTTGCTTGCGCCGGTTCGCGCCGCCCGGCAAGGTACCCAAGACCCCCCGAGACGCCCCGTCGCCATGTGCGGCGCAGCGGCCGGTTGTCTTTGCTGGCGCCTCGTGGGAGCGGTATCGGCCGGAAGAGCAGGGCAATCGAGTGTGATTCGTGCGCCCGCGTTGGATGGATGAGATACGCCGCGCAGTCCCTTTTCGACGCATGTCGGCATTCTCGGGGCGCACGGCACACTCTTTCCATCGAGCATGTCCAAACTGATCTATAAGAACGGCAAGACTGGCGCCAGAAACCGAAAATGCGCGGCGTGAGAAACTCAATATAAAGCCGTAAGGGAATTTTTGATTTTGTGGATCGACGATCGTTGTTCGTTCCCCCGGGTGCCCGGATGTGGGATGAACCGAAGAGAGGGGCCGGACTGTAAGAGACTGTGAAGAACATAGGAAGGGGTTAGGGTTCTGTACCCTGTGAGTGTGCGGTACCTCTCCTGCCAAGGGTGTGTGGACCGCCCTCCCTGCAGGCTGCAGCAAGCTGAAATCGAGCAAAACACCGCCTACCGCCCTCCCGGCAGCAAGCTCCGCCGCATCGCCTCGCGCACCATCTCCTCCTCCGCGCCCTCCGCGCCCTCCGCGCGCCCGGCCGCCCCTCGCGGGCGGCCCTTGCCGCCACGGCTCTCGCTCAGCAGCCGCGCCACGACCGCGGCGTCGTGGTCCGCCCGCGGCCTCTTGCCGCCGCCCAGCACGTTGCCCGCGCCCCAGCCACCGCCGCCGGCGAGAGCGGCGGCAGCCCCGACGGCGGCGGCCGGCAACGACGATGAGGCGCCACCCAGGCCAAATGCGCCGCCGAGCGTGTGCATCGCTCCACCGATGGCGCCGCCCAAGCCGCCCAGGCCGCCCAACACGCCGCCGCCGCCGCCGCCGCCGCCGCCGAGACCCTTGAGCGGCTCCTTGTGCGCTGCCGCCGCAGCGTGGCCAAGATGGCCATGATGGTGGCCGAGAGGGCCGTGGGCGCCCTGGGGGCGCAGAAAGACGAAGTAGAGCGGCAGCATCGCCGCCTCGTCACACATGGTGAGCTAATTAACATATGAACTAACTAATTAACGAGTGATTGAGATGTTAATTCGCGCCTCGTCAAACATGATCACCTCGCTGCCGCTCGCGTCCGACACGTGGCTCGTATAGCCCGCCTGAAGCCCTCGCCCTTGCTGCAGCGGCGCGAGGAACGGCTTGCCAACGAGGAGCTTACAGAGGAACATGCCGTCGTTCCTACAGGGTGAGTACGCCGACATGAGGGCGGGAGGACGGTCTCGTGCGGCGTCTTCAGAGCGCCGCGTGAATACGAGGGGCGACAGTGAACCACAGTGGAATCGGCTGAATACCGTTGAATACGTGTCCTCTCGAGCGCTGGCTGGGATGCAAGAATCCGTGCTCTGCTTCTAGGATGAGTCGCTCCCGCTGTTGTATCCCATCGACATCTGCAGCTGCTCCGAAAAGTAGATTCCCGCGCCGTAGAAGCCCGGGTCGGTCGTTGAGCCGACCTTGGAGATGATTAATAGGTAACCAATAATAAATGAATGGTTGGTTAAGTAATAGTTCGACCTTGGAGAGCTTGAATCCTTCCGCCAGGATCGGGCGCACGTTTGCCTGCCGCGTGCCGTGGAAGGCGAAGAGGATGGTGTGGTTGCCTATTCATTAAGAGTGAATGAAGAGTCACTCAAGAGTCACTTCATAGTTAATTAAGAGGATGGTGTGGTTGCCTATTCATTAAGAGTGAATGAAGAGTCACTCAAGAGTCACTTCATAGTTAATTAAGAGGATGGTGTGGTTGCCTATTCATTAAGAGCGAATGAAGAGTCACTCAAGAGTCACTTCATAGTTAATTGAGAGGATGGTGTGGTTGCCTATTCATTAAGAGTGAATGAAGAGTCACTCAAGAGTCACTTCATAGTTAATTAAGAGGATGGTGTGGTTGTCTATTCATTAAGAGTGAATTAATTAAGAGTCACTCAAGAGTCACTTCATAGTTAATTAAGAGGATGGTGTGGTTGCCTATTCATTAAGAGTGAATGAAGAGTCACTCAAGAGTCACTTCATAGTTAATTAAGAGGATGGTGTGGTTGCCAGGGCCGTACGTCGCGTCGTAGTCCGCCTTCTTGGCGTGCCAGCGCGCCTGATGCCGTCGTCGCTTATAGACTCCCCGCCAAGCGGGGCGAACACGGCGGCCTCTCGCAGAATGGCTCTCTGGGAGGGGGTGAGCGTCACTACCGCTCCTCCCCGTGTCTGCGGACTGGCGCGTGTGCCCCGTCCTGTGCCGCGTCCTCTGCCCGCGAGTGGGGTTTGTGTTCTGCCAGCGCGGCCTCGAGAGCGGGGTGGAAGTGGTAGTCGATGCTTGCGATCTGCGCCGCCACCCCTCCGCCGCGGCAAAACGCGCTCTCCGCGAGGCGGTAGTGCTGCTCCTCGGGAGTCTCTTCGGTCGATCGAGACGCGCGTAGCGTCCACGAGCTGCGCCTGTGGACGTGTCCCGGACGTGTCGTGGGCGTGTCGTGGACGTGTCGTGGACATGCCTCGAGGGACGTGCGAGGCGAGCGGCGCCTAGGGACATGTACATGTCATGCACATGTACATGTCATGCACGCGTTGTCTTGGACTCGCGAAGCCAGGCCGTGTCCCAGCCGAGCGGCGCCTACGGGAGAGCTAAGGGAGGGGCTCCGGGAAAGCTCGTCGAAGCCTCTTGGCCCCGAACCCAACTCGGCCTGCGCTGCTGCCTCGCCTCGAGCTCGCCCGGCAGCAGCGGCTTGCCGCTCGCACCGAGACCGACCCCGTTGGCCGCCTCCAAGTCGATCACCTCTTCGGCCCCCAGCGCCGACGCAGCGTCTCGCCGAGGCGCGGGGCCGCCGCCGGCCGCCCTCGCCGCCCTCGCCGCCCTCGCCGCCCGCCGCTTTGCGCGCTCGCCGCCAGATGGCCCGGCTGCGGTGAGGTCGAGTGTGACTGGTGCTCGCGCCTCCGTCACCCGCACCTCGTCGTCGTCGTCGTCGTCAGAGATCAGATCGTGCACGACCACCGCCCCGCTCGCACTGGGTGGGCGCGCAGCCGCGGGGGCGGCGACCGCCGAGTCTGCAGCCGCCGGAGCCGCAGCCACTCCATCGAGCACAACGCGGAGCTGGCAGCGCTGCGACCTGGAGAGTGAGACGAGCTGGCCGTATGCGAGCGGGACGGCCTGGCCCTTGGCGAGCCGCGTGGGCTGGTCATCCTCAGCGTCGTGGATGTGGCTCGGGCTCCCGCTCATGCTCGTCACGGTCACTTGCGCACCATCGGCAGAGAGCCTGAGATCAAAGTGCTCGCGCGAGATGCTCTTTGCGTCCGGCGCACCATCAAACTGCGCTCGGCCGACGACGACGCTGCCGCCGGCGAGAACGCCGCTCTTGCGCCACTCGCCGTCCGGCGACAGGCGAGTCTCGATCCTGGCTGGCATGGGGTGGGCTGGGCGCGCTGCTGATTCTCAGTCCAGCACTCCAGCACTCTACCGCACATGTGTTTCTTTTGAGAGCGCCTTCGTTGTTAATAGTACAAACCCAATGGTCCTCTGCGAGCGGTCCTTCGTTGCAGTCGCACACACGCACACGCCACGCCGCACCGCGCGCCCGCCCACCGCCCCGCCCAGGCGGGAAAGAGAGGAGGGGATGGGACAGCAAAGGAGGAACCCCAAACACGTATGGGAGGGTTCAGTAATGCGCCACGCTGCCCGGCGTCTCTCACTTTCCGGGACAGCCCCGCCCTTGTGAGGCAGGAAAGTGACGGCTACCCCGTACGCCCTCGAGTTAGGGCCCACGCCGACGCAGCGCGTGGCGAGGGTGATGGCGCCCTTGGGGTGGTTGAGGTAGCCCTGCGCCTCGTGGAGCCACGCCTTGTCGTTCAGCTCGACGTCCTTGTGGACGACGTCGATGCCGAGCACCGCGCCCGCCCCGAGTTGCTTCGTCGAGCGGAAGTGCGCTCGCGTCGCCGGGTGCACCTTCGGGTCGTTGACGATGGCGTCGAACATGTCTGTTTCTTTTTGAATCGTGTCGTGCGACCCCAGCGACAATTCTTTTTTGAGCTTAGCCTTCGATGTTATGAAAACAAACGCAAGGCGGACATGGCATATCGCTCTCGGGCTCACAGACATCCCTCACACCCGCGCACACCCGCCGCCCCCGCGCGCGCCCCACCTCGGCCGGGAGAAAGGGGAGTGACAGTTTGGGATGAGTAAGCCCGAGTATGTTGAGTCCTGGCTCAACAACGCAGATAACAAGAGGGGGTGGTCCGGCTCACAAGTCCGGCTCACGCGCCTCGAGCTTACCATCTACCGCACTGAACACTTCCGCCCCCTCGCTCCCAACCCATCCACCCCGCCCCGGGCCGCGCCGCGCGATCTCGGGCCGCGCGATCTCGGGCGATCTCGGGGCCGCGCCGCGCTATCTCGGGCGATCTCGCGCTATCTCGGGCGATCTCGGGGCCGCGCCGCGCTATCTCGGGCGATCTCGGAGCGTCGCTCGCGCGGCGTCACACCTGCTCAAAAAGGAAGGAGGTTGGAGGCAGGAGGTCACGCCCCATCCAGAGCGCCGTCGTCGCCGGGTTTTTGGCCCCCGGGTCGTCGCCCGACGGTTGCTGCGCGGGGCAGCAGACCATCGGACGGGGCCGCGCGATTCTTTTTCAATTGCCGCTCTTGATAGCCGCGCCGCTTCGCCGATCTCCCTCTCCCCTCCGATGTCTTTCTCCCTCACCGGCGTCGACGACGAGGCAACGCAGCGCTGCTTCGCCCACATCCACGACCGCGTCCGCGCCACGCTCGTCCGCGGAGAGCCCGTCACCGTCGCGGGCGGCCGTCCCGTGCGGCGAACGCTCAAGCTGCTGCGGGCGCTCGCGCGGGGGCACTGGATCGTCGGCGAGGAGTACGTCGCCGCGTGCGCGCGGAATCGCGGCGTCGCCGTCGACCCCGCCCCCTTCGAGGAGGGGATGCTCCCGCACGTCCCGGGCGCGCAACTCTCGCGGCTGAGCGGAGGCGGCCGCGCGCTTGCGGGGCTCACCGTGACGCTGCGAGGCGCGACGGTGATGCCGCACGCCGACCTGTGCTCCCTCTGCTGCGAGGCGGGTGCGCGCGTCCAGTACGGACGCCCCATCTCCGACGCGGGCGCCGTCGAGGTATATGCCCTCTCCCTCCCGCCTCCCCTCCATCTCTCTCCCTCCCCGACTCTCTTCTCCACTCCCTCGGCCTCGGCCTCCGCCCCTCTCCTCCCTCCCGCGCCCCCTCCCAAGCCGGCCACGCCAGACTCGGGGCCCTCCTCCGAAGCGTCGCTCGGAGCCTTCCCGCAGGTGCACCGCAATCAGCCGCGCGCCCGCCTTGCCGAGGCGGCCGTCTCTCGCCTCCACCGGCGCGGGACACGTCCACGACACGGCCGCGACACCCCACATAGGCGGATGAGCAGTGGCTCCTCGCCACCATCACCTCCGGCCGCCCGGCCGTCGCCGACGCGCCCGCCCTCGCCCACCGTCCCTCCACCGCCGCCGCCTTGTCCGCCCCGCCGTCCTCGTCCGCCTCTGTCCTGCCGCCCTCTTGGCGGCGCGACGAGGCGGCAGCTCGCCGGCAAACGGCCACCGAGCCGCCCGCAGCAGCTTCCGCCAGCCGCGCGGCAGCGGCCCCCGCCGCACCGGCAGCGGCCGCCAGCGCGTCTGCTGCCGCCAGCGCGTCTGCTGCCGCCAGCGCGTCTGCTGCCGCCAGCGCGTCTGCTGCCGCCAGCGCGTCTGCTGCCGCCAGCGCGTCTGCTGCCGCCAGCGCCGCCGCAGCGGGCGGCCAGAGGGGGAGTCGGTCGGGGCGGCGGGCAAGCCAGGTCCGACCCACACGCGGGCCCCCACCCGCCCGCCTCGGGGATGGCGACGGATGGGCAGGCTGCAACGCGCCGTCTTGGGCCAGCGCCGCGCCGCCGCCCGCCCGAAAGGAGGCGGCGGCTAGCAGTCCCTCCGCCGGCGAGGGCCCATTCGGCGCCTCCTTTTCGACCTCGCGCCGCGCCGCCCTCGCTGAGCTGCGCAACGCGGGCGCGTCGCCCAAGCCGCCACCGCCGTCGCAGGCCAAGCCCCTCTCGCCGATCAAGCGGACCACGCGCGCTCGCGCCGCCGCCACGGCGCCGCGGCTCAGCTCGCGCGTCTCTCGCTCCTCCTCCTCCTCCGCCTCCGCCTCCGCCGCCGCCTCCACTTCCTCCACCTCCGCCGCCGCCGCCGCAGCCGCCGCCGCCGCTTCCGCTGCCGCTTCCTCCTCCCCGCCGCCGCAGCCCACCCCGCCGCCTCCGGCCAGCTCGCGGCATCGCCCCACCCGCCGCTCGGTCGAGTACACCGTCGCCCCTCCCGCCCCGCCCGCCGCCACGGCGGCGGCAGTCCCCCTCGCCGCCTCCGCCGCCGGCCCCGACCTCTCCTCCTCCGGTGTGACCCTCGAGCTGCAGCCTCCGCCCGCCGCCTTTGGCAGCTTCTCGCCCGCAGAGGCGCATCTCGGCTCACCTCGGCTCATCTCGGCTCACCTCGGCTTCATCACGGCTCCTCTCGCCTCCTCTCGCCTCCTCTCGCCTCCTCTCGCCTCCTCTCGCCTCCTCTCGCCTCCTCTCGCCTCCTCTCGCCTCCTCTCGCCTCACCTCCCCTCACCTCCCCTCACCTCCCCTCACCTCCCCTCACCTCCCCTCACCTCCCCTCACCTCCCCTCACCTCCCCTGACCTCGAGTGATGATCTCGCAGGCGCACGCGCTCCGGCTCTACCGGCGCAGGCTGCCGGAGTGCAACGTCGACCTCCCTCCCGACGTTCCCTGCTCGCCGGCCCACCCCGGGCTCAGCCCGCAGCGCAAGCGGCGCGGCGCCGACTTTCTGCACTTGCTCGTGCACGGCCAGGGCGCCCGCACCGCTGTCGCTCGCCTCGAAGGGAAGGAGTCGATCGTCGGGGCGCTCACCCTCATCCCGCACGCCGCCGCCTCCTTCTGCGAGGCGCGCGGCGCCTCGCTGTCTCGCCACTGTGCACGGCGCTCTCTTCACAGCTGCACCCGCGAGCACAGGTGCAGCTCCTCGCCGTCGCGAGCAGCCACGCTGGCCGCGGCATCGGCGCGGCGCTGCTGGGCGCCGCCGAGGCATGGCTCGCGGAGCAGCTCGGCGTGCGCACTGTCGTCGTGCTCGCGGGCCACGACACGGTCGGCTTCTGGCGCAGGCGGGGCTACGCCGAGGCCGCCCCGCCGTCCGGCGCGCCGCTTGCTCGCCGCGGTCGCAAGGGGCGGCGCGGTGACGAGGGGGCGCGGCCGGCGCTGCTGCCCGAGCAGTGGTCGCTGGTGCGGGACCCGTTTGGAAGCTCACAGCCGATGGTCAAGCAGCTGTGAGGCGGCGGGCGGGCGGAGGGGGCAGGAGCGCGCGCCGCGAAGCGGGCAAAGCGCCGCCGCGCCGCAAATGTGTGTATCTCAACGCGAGCCCCGTGTACTGTATAATGGTGTGGTGGGGCAGGCATGCATCTTGCATGTCCATGTGTGCGCTCGAGAGAGCGCGAACGGAGAGAGGGCGCGCGCGGCACTTGCCACTCTTTTGGCGGAACCGTGCGTATGTTGGGTGTTCTAGTTTCAGAATTTTTCTCAGCGTGAGCGAGACGTGGAAGAGTGCCACCGTCGGGTAGGAGACGGGCACGGTGCGACTGGAGCTTGTTCCACTTTTCCCACACTCATCAGGCCCTTTTCGAGTCCCTTTTCTGCGCTACAATGTGCCATGTGCGCTCCGCGCCCCCCTAGCACAGCGCCGTCTGCGTCTCCCCCGCCGTGCCCGCGCCACATCGTGTCACCTCGCACTGCCGCGCGCGGTTTCCCTGGTCCGCCTCCCCCCCGGCCACTCGGCTCTACGCGCCCGGCGGGCTCGGCCTCGCAACTGTGTGTGTGCGGTGAGCCGCCCCACCGTCGGGCGCGATCGGCCTTTGCGGCGCACAGGATGGTACTTCCCGATTTATGTGGCGCATACCACCGCCCCCCCAACCCTCAACACCCTCATGGCAAGCACTATGCCAATTATTCAGTGACAGAAAAATCGGTATCTCACGGAATCCAACCAAAACCGCCGCAGGTCCGGGCGGGGCCGAAAACGGCCGTGCTGCCAGAGAGCTACAACGTCGAGAAGGTCATCTCGTGGCGGCAGAGAGCTGGGGGGATCGAGCTTCTGATCGCCTGGGAAGGCGACGATGTCGATGGTTGGACGTGGGATCCCCTCGACAACATCCCCGAGCGGTTTGTTCGGGCCTTTCATGCGCAACGCCATCTCCCGCCATCCTTTTTCTACGTCGTGACCATATGCGCGACCGGATCGGCTTCAAGCTGCTCGAGAGGACCGGCCCGATGTTTGGGGTTGCTGTCCTGGTCGAGGAGGCCGCCCTGCGCGAGTATGCTCTCGCGCTGCTGCAGTACTTCTCCACTCCTCGGCAGAGGCGCACGAGCTGGTTGTGCACGCGAAGAAGACGCTCAAGCAGCCGTGGGCGGCGGAGCCTGTCGGGCACCGCCTGCGCGCTAGCGGCTGGTGCGACCAGCTAGTGCCGCTTTAGTAGAATCCGTCCGTACCCGCACAGTCTAGCGCGTGTGTGTGCCCCCAACGCCCACACACACGTGTTGTGTGTGTTCTCGCTCGAGAGTTCACCAGACAAGCCGAGGCATGTTACGGCTATAGGAGGCGGGCGGTGGGGTGCAGCTCGCGTGCGGGTCGCTGTCACCGCCCTGCCGAGCCAAGCTGTCTGAGGTCGGCAGCGCGAGTTGGCTGTGGCGTCGCAGAGCGCCTTTGCCGGCCCGCGCACTTGGGGCGAAACAACCCGCTCCCAATACACAGTGCCGCGTATCCTGCGCCCGCCGCTTGATATGGCCCATCCGGGCGCTGCGCCAGCAGGCGGCGACCTGCGGAAGTGAGTGGCCGAGAGAACGATCCGGTGCTCACCCGTGGCGTGTGCCTACTCACTCCGCAGGCGCTTCACTCGGCCCAGATCTGGTATGAAAGGACCCGATTGGGGCTTGGCCGGAGCCGGGACGACTGTCAAAAGGCCGCCATAGTGAGGCTGAAATTTTGCCCCTCTCATTTCCGCACCGTGGGTCGGCCCGGAGTATCAGAGTACGAGCCGTCGTGGCGGTCGCGGCGAGCAGCGCCGGCCAGTCGCCGGCCACTCCGGCGCCGCGTCGGCAACGACATGGGAGCATGTCCACCGCCACTTCACGGTCGCAGCGCTGTTTGTCGCCCAAAACGCCGCCTATCCCTCTGGCGGGCCAAAGATCGCCTCGCATGTCGATTTTGACTCGACGGGCGCATGGAAGCATCACGTCTCCATGCGCCCGTCAAGTCGGAGCCAGTCTGCGGCGTCCACAGCATTCATTCATTCATTCATTCATTTCATTTCATTCATGCCCAGGCGGCGAGGACGCCGTTGTGGGGCCGTCGTAGACGGCGTGTGGACACGTCGCATCGCCGCGCCCGTGGACATCGCATGCGACACGTGGACATCGCATGCGTGGACACGTCGCACCGCCGCGGCCCGGGTCGGCCACCAATCTATTTCAGTGCCGCTTCGTGTGCGCCCCCACCAGTCGTGGCGATCGCCGCGGCTCACGGCCAGCCTCCTTCGTCCCCTCGATGGCGACGATCGCGCGCAGCTCCTCATTGTATTTGGTTGCGTAGACGCCTCCGATGCACGATAGGACGTGCCACGCGATGTGCAGCGGCCACACGCCGGGGTGCGCGGCGCAGAGGCGCTGCTCCGCCTCCCACACGAGCTTGCCGGCGCCGATGCCGCCGACGGCGCGCGCGAAGCAGGTCTGGAGGGCGGGCGTCCAGCGGCGGCGCGCCGACGGGAAGAAGTGCGTCGCGATCAGGAAGAGCACCATCAGCGTGAATGAGATGACAAAGATCTGGTACACTTTGAAGTGGATGTACGCGGCGGTGGAGAGCGCGACGGCCACCGCCGAGCCCACGCGGAATCGCCGCCGCCCGGCTGGGCCCGAGAGGCAATCGAGGCAATCCTCCTTGCCGAGGAGAAAGGCGATGATTAGCAGCAGCATCGGGACCTCGTCACAGAGCTCCATTGTGAAGCGCATGGTGGCGTGGAAGAGCACCGAGCCCACGCCAACCACGATGAGCATTGCGTAGCCCGCACCGACCTTCCAGTGGCAGCCACGGCAGAGCATGGCCGCCCCAGCTGCCATGTAGACGAACGACGAGAGCGCATTGAAGAATTCGGCGACGACGGTGGAAGTTGCATACTTCGGCTCGCAGAAGGTGTGCGCCGCATCGATCGCGCCCCAAAACGGCGGCGGCATGGTGGCTGGCCTATGCCAGTGAAGCACGGCGAGCGAGAGGGGAGCCAGTAGCGATCAGCGCCGGAGGCGCCGAGGCCGTGGATTATGGTTGTGTTTGCCGTTACCCAAAGGTATTTCTTACTTCGTTGTTTCATCTTTCGTTGTTTGCGACGAGCACCGTCTAGGCGCTCGCCGCAACCAGCGTCGCGGCCGCAGTCCAGCGCCCGCGTCAACGCGCGAATATTCGCACAGCACCTACGTCTTCCTATTCGCCGAGATGTCTACAATCGATGCCGGCGAAGGAGCACCGTCTCCCGACCGACTCCAATGCTATGGCGGATGGACGACGGTCATCAGAAGCGGTGGCGCACGTGGCGCTCCACCGGGTGGCGCGCCAACTGCCGCGCCCACCAGTCTACTGCGACAATAAAGCGGCGGTCCTTCTTTCGGACGGCAATACCTCGTCCAAACGGATGAAGCACGTCGCAACGAAAATTGCTTTCCTCCGCGAGCAAGTCAAGGAGGCAAAGCGAGTGTACCTGTACCATATTCGGACGCAGGGCCAGCTGGCTGACCTCATGACGAAGCCACTGGCAGCAAGCATTTTCCACCCGTTGGCCAGCTTCATGATCGCCTAAAAGTGGCCAAGTCAGCAACGCGACCGCTCATGACAAGCCCTACCAAGGGGCTAGCTGTCGTTGTGCAACCCCACCACGTCAGCCATCTTCCGTGCAGGCGTTGAGGGGGTGATCTGCGCGATCGCGTATTATGATCGGTGTGAAAACAGCATAGTAGGTGTGAATATAGTGAGTAGTACATGCCCCTGTGAGCTCAGGCAGTCCTCTAGTGTGCCTGGACTCGAGTGTGTGTGTGACCGGGCGACGGCGCCAGCTCGACATGCAACAACACTGGGACACGACGACGAGGGGATCTAGTGGGTCTGTGAGAGGGTCCGGGTACTCCTGATGTCCTGAAGTTGCCGCACGATTAGCCCAACTGTCGTGGCGTGTGTGTACCGTACCCTGGGCGTGTGCGAGACGGGGGGGTGTGGGGGACAACAGTGGCGGCCATGTTTCCTTGCGCCAGTGGCAGTGCTTCGGTTTGTTTCGGGGTGGTTGTGGGGTCTGGGGACAAAGTCTTGTTTTAGATTTTACGGATTACGCTTTCAGTAGCGCAAGAACGCGGGAAAGTACATAAAACTAAATCAAAACGACCCGAACCGCCGAAGGCCCGACTCGCGACTGAAAACGCCGTATAACGGACCCGGCAGGCGCATGGCGCAGCAGGGAGACCGTGCGCACACGACAGCAGTAGCACCACAGCCCGGACCACAAACCTACAGCACCAACCGAACCACCAGCAGCAAACATAAAGTTGCATGCATGCATGAAGCTTTTGGAAAGCAAACTTTTGGCACAAGAGGACCTCTGGCGAGGGTTGACCTCTCGCGCAGAACGACATGGAAGCGCGGACGCCAGGTCGTCGCGCGCACCCACGCCAGTCACCACGTAACGCTCGGTCTAGGCCCATAACGCTCTGGCGTGACGCCGACCTCCCGGCCGGGGGGAGGGAAGCGAAGGAGAAGGCACGCACGGAGGCTGAGGCGGCGAAGAGGACGGCGGAGGAGGTGAAGGCAAAGCAGGCTGCGGAGAAGCGCGAGTCGGCGCGGCTGGAGAAGGAGGCGGCCGCTGCGGCGAAAGCGGAGGCGGAGGCGAGGGCCAAGGCTACGGCATCGCCTGCTCCTGAGTTGTTCGAAGCAGCGCCAGCCATCTCGGCGAAGCAGCGCATGGTTGAGCAGCTCGACAAGCTGGAAAAATTCCTGGAATTTTACACAAACAGACTGCAACGCGCCGAGCGTGCTGACACCACGGCCGGCCACGTGATCACCGCCGCGACAGGAACATTAGACACCATTGAGGAAGCGCTTGATGTCCTCGAGGACTTTCCGGTGGTCGGAAAAGTGTTTAAGATCGCCAACAAGATCTTAGGAATGGTGCAGCATGCCAAAGACTGCGCCACCGATGTTATCGAGGCCGGGCAGCGAGTCGAAGACTGGCTTCGACTGCTCATCAAGGTTGGGAGGAAGGCACTCGATGTCCACGAAACGGAGCGGGGAGAGCTGCAGGAAATAATAGACGCCGTCCTCCCATCCCTCCCTTGGGTTGTCCGTTTTCTTTCTTTCTTTTTCTGGACTCGTCAGAAGACTCGTCCTTGCGCGAGGAGAGCTCGATAGACTCGAGGGGCCAGGATATGCAGCGAGGAGGGCGGAGCTGCGCCGAAAGGCGAAAGAAGCCGCGAGAACAAGGGACCGGCAGGCGGCGGCGGCGTCGCAGAACGAGACAGAGGAGAGCGACGCGACAGAGGAAGAAGCGACAAGGGAGAGCACGACGAGAAGGGGGCGACCGCGAGGTGGCACGACGGTCGCAGCGAGAATCGGAGAGAGACTGCGAAGAGAGATAGGAAGAGGCGGACGCCCAAGGGTGGGCGACGGCTAGTGCACCACACCCCTCTCCTTAAAATCCCTGTGTGGTGGCGGCGTGCCGTCCTCCCATCCCTCCCTTGGGTTGTCCGTTTTCTTTCTTTCTTTTTTGTAGTTCGCACCTGTGTCGAGCCTGTCTGCTGTGAGAGAGAGTTCTTTTGTTTAAATTCTTTTTTGAACTTGTCGGCCATCGGAGCGCAATCCAAATCGATAGGACGTCCGGTCGAGCCCGGCCCACCCTTGCGCTTGGCACGGTAGACGACCATCGCTGTCGCGCCTACCTAAATTTAGTCGCCCAACTTTAAAGTCGCCCCGTAAACCGTTCTCCGTTGCCACGCCTCTTTTCTAAAGTGGCGGAAATTCCAAGCGACTTTTCTGATGCCGTCTCCACGGACAAAGCCTTTTCAAAGCGGCTCCCCCCTCCAAAGTTGTGAATCCTCTCCTTAGATACATACATATTCTATCACATATCTAGAGCACCACAGCCGCACAGCCCCATGCCCGCAAGCCCACCACGAGCGTATCGTAGCGGGCTGCAAGGTAGCCGCGCAGATTGGGGCAGCCCGGTGAGCTGAACGTGCGCCTCCACAGGCGTTGCACGCAGGCGGAGCGCGCGAGACGCTTCGCGCTCAGCACCGCGTCTGCAAAGGCTGCGCCACTGCCGTAACGATTCAAGTCAGCGACGAGGGCGGGTGCAAGCGGGCAGCCAATCGCAGCGTCGGCCGTGATTGCATAGCCCGCGCTCCTTTTCACGTAGGTCCTGAAACTCGCGTAGTCTACGTAGCTCGGAAATGCCTTGCAAACGTCGTGCCGGTGGTCCGAGCGAGACGCGTTCAGGATTCGGACCGCGCCAAGTTTCGCGTGCGTCCCAAACTCGTTGTCTACGAGAGGGACGGGGGCCGTGCCGGGTGAGAGTACCCGAGACCCGAGATGACGCGAGATAACCCGAGATTATATAGAGTCTACGCACCAATGAAGGCGAACGGCGCGCTAGGCGAGGCGATGCTGGCCGGCGAGAAGGTGGCGAGAGAGAGAGGAGCGCCGGTGCTGCTCCGCCGCACAAAGGTGTTCCGGGTGTAATGCAAGATGGGTGGCCGCTTAGCCTTGTAGTTGCGGAATCGATTGTAGTTCCACAGCAGGTAGTCAAAGACGAGTATGGTTGCCACCTTGCGAAGCAGTGGCACCGTGATTGGCAGCATCACACAAACCTTACGTTCGGGATGCGCCTCCAAGAACGCCAGCTGTGCTCTGATTCCTTGTCTGGGCGCGCGCGGCCGGCACACTCCAAACTGGCCGCTGCCGTCTCCTCCAAAGATGGTTGCGTGCTGCAGATTCTCGAGTGACAACTCCAGCAAGCGCCACTGTTGGGTCTGCAGCTTCCCGCCCGCGGCGTCGCAAGCCGTCGTGTTGAACCTTATCGGTGGCACCGACTCAATCGATGGCAGCACCTCCTGGAACGCCGCCGCGAGCAGCTCGCCGATCACGCGCTGCGGCTGCTGCCCAATCTTGCTGTCCTCGAAAACGGTGTGCCACAATTGCTCCGCCATTGGGGAGACTGCTGACTGTGGCTGGCCGGGCCCCGGCAGATGTGTTCGGACTGTGCCTTTTGTGCCTCCACGGTGGACTCGGTGTCAAGATTTCTTTTTTTGCGGACGTCATTTCAAGCAGAGGCAGCAAACAGAGCCCGCAAAGAGGAACGGAAACACGGGGCGCCCCCCCCCCCCCCCCCCTCTCGGCAATGCCGCGCATCGTGAAGGCGCCGCCGAACGTCGTGAGGGCGGCGGCGAACGGCAACGTGGGAGTGCTGCGGGCGTGGCTCAGCAGCGACGCGGCCGACGTAAACGCGGCCAACAGAGCTGGTGACACGCTGCTGATGATCGCCGTTCAACACGGTACGGCCAGTAGGAAGGTGTCCTTCCACGCTTCCAGCTGCGTGCACGCTTCTGACGCAATGCGCGTCACAAACTGCCTCGGATTGGCTGCTGGCACTCTCGAGGCTATGCCTACACAGCCTCGCGCGCATGGGCAGTCAAGAGGGACCACGCACCTTCTCAGGACAGCGCCGGTGCCTCTCTCTTGGACCGGCAAACTTGGCGGTCTCGTGTCACCAATGTGGGACCAGTGCGGCATCGCGCCATCGACAGCTCTGAACTGCGCCTCACCACTGACCGGGAAGGCCGCCTAGTGGGCAAGCACAGGTCGCACATTGTGGCAGCAGTCAGCAGTGCATGTCTGATAGCTAGAGCAGCAGCGTCAGGGTCGCAGGGTCGGATCGTATCAAGCCTCTCGTCAGGTCCCGACGATAGTGGCTTCCATTCTGTCGCTTGGTTTTTCACGGCGACTTGCTGGACCATGCAGGTGCGGACACGGTCGCGGCAGCGATACAAGAGTACAGGGACTGAATAAGGATCACGGCGCTGGCGGAGGCGTGTGACGAGGCTGATGCTGCGGCAGTTTGCGCCGACCAGGGGCAGGGCCAGTGGTAGACAGTGGACGTGGTGAGGCTGCTCTTCGAGCGATGACACTAGCAGGAGCATCATGAGTGTCGGAGTCACTTGTGTTACGATATCACCACGCCGCCACGCTCGCAAGGGCCACCTAAGCGCCTAAGCACCCTAAGCACCCCCGCTTAGGCCGCTTAGGCGCTCAGGCGAGTGACGGCCGACTCCCCGGGGCCTGGCGTGCCTCCGCCGTGGGCTGAGCGCCTGGGAGAGCCACTCAGCAAGTGGTGTGCGAGCGTGTAGCCTTTAGCGTGCAGTCGGCCATAGGCTGAATGAAAATTGAAAAAAATTAAAGCCGTAGCACTGTCCACCACCCTGTTTAAAAGATCAACGCGTTCGCTGATCGCTCGGCTCCAGAGACGCAGCTCCGGTGTCCGGCTGGACTCCGGTGGCTCTCTGCACTGTGCCACAAGGCACGAGCCGCGCCGCTCAGATGACGCCGTACTGCTTCTTGAGCTTGAGAAGCAGCGCCCAGTCGTCCTTGGAGAGGTCCTCCTTGAAGAACTCCTGTTCACAGCAGTGAGTGTGAAGAGACGCCGTTCACACCAGCTCTTCCGCCCTCCTTGAAGAGCTCCTTGATCGCGTCGATGGAGCGGCGCGTCACGCGCGCGTACAGCGGGTAGGTGTGGTCGAACTGCCGGCCGTACTGGATCGACGTGACGGCGTCGATCTTGACCGCGGCAGACTTGCCCGCCTTGAGGACGTCCACCTGCTTCCCCTTCTCGGGCTCCATCGAGACGACGCGCCCGATGTCGAGGTAGGCCTACCCGCCCAAAAAAGAGGAGTGCGCTGGCGCAGGCGTAGGGGGCCGTTCGTGTTCTCTGGTGGCCCGGTGTCTTGCAGGCCTGCAGCCCCGTCTCGGGGTCCTTTTGCCCGCGCCGCTCGACGCAGAGCGGCGTGCCCTTCTTGAGGGTCCCCTCCTGCACCGCCAGCCCCAGCAAGATCGGGTCCCCTCCCCCGCCGCGGCACCAGACGTGGTCGGGCGACGAGACCTAGGAAGTGTCGAGGAAGTGTCGAGGAAGTGTCGAGGAAGTGTCGAGGAAGTGTGCTAGGTCGGGCGACGAGACCTTGCAGATGGCGGGGTAGACGGCGGTGGTCGCCGCCTTTGCCTGCTGCTCGAGCCGCACGTCCGCCATGTACTTTGTGAACTGGTCGAACAGGTGGTAGATGATCTCGGCGGTGAAGACCTTGACCTGCGACTCCTTGGCCTGCAGCTCGCCCTCCTTTGTGAGCGGCACGTCGAAGGCGAGGATGGTGGCGTACTCGGGCTTGAACTCGTGCATGATGGACGCCTTGATGACGTCCTTCTTGTGGATGGGCCCGATGTTGACCGCGGAGACGGGGATCTGTGCGGGGGAGAGGTGTGGGGGGATGGGGAGATGTGGGGAGATGTGGGGAGATGTGGTAGAGACGGGGATCTGTGCGGGGGAGAGGTGTGGGGGGGATGGGGAGATGTGGGGAGATGTGGGGAGATGTGGGGAGATGTGGGGAGATGTGGCCGCGACGGGGATA